TGCTTAAAGGCACAATGCCTGAGTCAAACTCAGAGAGCTAAGTTTCCATCCTTATACTGGGGTGCTAGAGGCCCAGGGCCCTTTAAGAATACCGAACCCAGATTGGTATTGAAACCAAGCACAGAACTGAACATTCAGCATATTTTTTTTTTAATACAAACAACATGATAGGATGGATAGAGTGATAACTTTGGATGAAGAAGACCTGGGTCCAAATCCTTTCTCCAACCCATAAAAGTAGGGTAACCTTGGGCAAATGATTTAATCTCCGTCTCAGATATCTCACAAGGATATGTATAGTGGAAAAAGCAGTGACCCTGGAGTCAGGTGACCTGGTTTCAAATCATGCTTCTTTTATGACCTTGGGCAAGTTAGTTATCTTCCTCGAGCCTCAGTTTCCTCATTTGTAAAATTTAATCATTGAACTTGAGAGCCTCTGAGGTCCCTTCCAGCTCTATTTCGATGATGCTAATTCATAGAGTTTGGCACCTGGATCTGTGTTAATGGTGGAAGTTAAATTCCCAACATGACTGAAATCACAGATGGTTCTCATATCTCGTGTTAAAAGCCAATAAGCATGAAATTCCCTCTGTTAAGAAGGAAGTACACATCTCCAATTGTTAAAGCTGGAAGAGACCTTCGAAATCACATAGTTCAGCCCCTTCATTTGGCAAATGAGGAAACCTAAGCCCAGAGAGACTGCACCGAGCAACATCAGGACCAGGGCCAGGGCCCCTCGCTTCCCACCTAGAACTCTTTTCACTTCAGCTTATTCCCTCTTGTTTCATTGACTCACTTAGTTTAAAAGAAGATGATGCAACAAGCAAATTGTACTCGTCAGGGCAATGTTTTTCTGATACGTCTCATTTTTGTCCAGCCTTCTACTGACTTGGCATTTTTATCTGGCCTCATACTATTGAAGTGGAATGCCAAAGAGCAACCCTTTCCTACATGGTACTTAGAGTACATATCATTGCTTTCCTGAATGATCAATATTAAAATATAAGCCATAAACTCAAACTACAGTGGGATACAGTAGAAAGAGAATTGGATCCATAATTTGAAGACCTGGATTCAAATCCCATACCTGTGTGACCTTGGACAACTGACTTGACCTCTCTGGGACTCAATTCTCTCCCCTGTAAAATGAGTGGATTTGGCTAGATGTCCTCTGAGGTCACCTTCTAGCTCTCAATTTATGATCCTCTGATCCTATTCGCTTTATCGGGAAACATTCTATTCTGATTGGTGGGTTAAAAATCCATTTAAGGAAAAAAATAAAAAGAAAAAAGAAAAAAGAATCCATTTAAGGTTCAATCTGAAATTTTCATCTAAAACGTTCGTGCTGGAGGTAGCCCAGTGAGTTACAGTCTTCATAGAAAGAGGAAGTGCCCACACCCATTAAATCGCAGATTTGCAAAAGTGTCCAAGTATTGCAGATCACTAAGGGCACCAGCACCAAAACTTTCAAGATACATATACATAGGTAGAGATAGAGATAGAGATAGAGATAGAGATAGAGATAGAGATAGAGATAGAGATAGAGATAGAGATAGAGATAGAGATAGAGATAGAGATAGAGATAGAGAGAGAGAGAGAGAGAGAGAGACATAGACATAGATAGATAGAGACAGAGACAGAGACAGAGACAGAGACATAGATATAGATATAGATATAGATATAGATATAGATATAGATATAGATATAGATATAGATATAGATATAGATATAGATATAGATATAGATATAGATATAGATATAGATATGGATATGGATATGGATATGGATATAGATAGATATGGATATAGATATAGATATAGATATGGATATAGATATAGATATAGATATAGATATAGATATAGATATAGATATAGATATAGATATAGATATAGATATAGATATAGATATAGATATAGATATAGATATAGATATAGATATAGATATAGATATAGATAGATATGGGTATGGGTATGGGTATGGGTATGGGTATGGATATGGGTATGGGTATGGATATGGATATGGATATGGATATGGATATGGATATGGATATGGATATGGATATGGATATGGATAGATATAGACATAGACATAGACATAGACATAGACATAGACATAGACATAGACATAGACATAGACATAGACATAGACATAGACATAGACATAGACATAGACATAGACATAGACATAGACATAGACATAGACATAGACATAGACATAGACATAGACATAGGTATAGGTATAGGTATAGGTATAGGTATAGGTATAGGTATAGGTATAGGTATAGGTATAGATATAGATATAGATATAGATATAGATATAGATATAGATATAGATATAGATATAGATATAGATATAGATATAGATATAGATATAGATATAGATATAGATATAGATATAGATATAGATAGATACAGGTACAGGTACAGGTACAGGTACAGATACAGGTACAGGTACAGATACAGATACAGGTACAGATACAGATACAGATACAGATACAGATACAGATACAGATATAGATATAGATATAGATATAGATATAGATATAGATATAGATATAGATATAGATATAGATATAGATATAGATATAGATATAGATATAGATATAGATTAGATATAGATATAGATATAGATTAGATATAGATATAGATTAGATATAGATATAGATATGTATGTATATCTTTTGGGACATAGGGAATCTACTTCCAGTTTTATATGCAAAAATCTATCTCATATTTTTATGCTTTAAAACTAAAGTAGAAAAAGCTTTTGGTTTAATGATGCTTTTAAGCTGTTAAATAAGTCTGTTTTAGCAAAAGAACTATGTAAAGGTGTCTTTTGTGAATATCATCAATGAGGATATACATATCAACACAGGTAAATTAGAGCATTACCTTTTGCTGGAATGGAATACCAAGTAAAGAATTTCACTTGCCCATCCAGTTACCTTGGGAAATGATGTATTGGATGAAAACATCTCTGAAATTCCCTTTCAGCCTGGGCGGTCTATGTAAATTCCCATGGCACAGAACTGGGAATTCTGATATCTAGGTCTAAATGTATAGTTAACTCAGTCCTGTACTTACTTTTTTCATTCTCTGCTCAAAGCAGAAAGTGCTTTCCTAGGACTGTGAACATTTGCTCAATTTTAAAATCATTACAGGACCTGTCAGCTTTGGCCCTTTCATTATGGGGCAGAATTAACTTGATTTGGCAAGGGACTGGAGGCAAATTCAGTCTTAGATGAGTCTCAGATGAGACCCTGCTTCACAGCTCATCCAGCCATCAACTTGGGCCACCTAACCTTCCTCCTTGCTGCCCACACATATACCTCCCTTCCCCACTTTCCACTTCTCCCTCTAAGCACAGTAATCAAATTGTTGCTACAAATGCTTAGAGGGTAGGTATGCTGATTACCCTACGATTCAACTCACCATCCCCGTAACTGCTCAGACCAAAATCCCCTCCCCTGGTCATCAATCCTTTATATATGCCATCCACTCTTATTAGATTGTAAGCTCCTTGAGGGCAGGGATAGTCTCAACTTTGTGTTTGTATCTCTTTGGTACATAGTAGGTGATTAATAAATGCTTTTTCACTCATTCATTCATACAAAATCAGTATGAGACACAGTGCTATCTTAACAGCCTGAACTGTTTAGCTGCTAGGTCGCCCATTCCACTAGAATCTCTATACTCACTTTTCTCAAAGGATGCAGTTTGTCGAAGTGGTCTATGTAATACTCTCTAGCCAGAGAGCACATTTCCTTTCTAAAAGTCCCAGGAGCCTAAACCTGGGGCAATGTCTCTGTCATGACTTGGAAACCAGTTAATGCTTCCTACTTCCCACAGAGTCTGGTTTTTTTTTTCCGTCTTCATGTTTTCCATTTCAAAGAATTTCTTAGGCAAAAACAGAAAAGTTCCCAAGTAGCAAGCAAGGTGTTTTGAAGAGTGGCTTCATGGCACTTCTATATAGATAGAGATGCCAGATCTAGTAGAGATGCCAAGCTGCTATTTATATCATCTCAAAGACTGCCAGCCATGCAGACCTTCAGATTAAATGCCACCTGAAATGGCATGCCCATTGTGACTTCCAAATACCCACTCCTAAGGATAATGCTAGATCTGACAAGGCAGCGTGCCTGCTTTCTATCCTTCCTATGTTATAGACTATAGACTAATTCTTGTCTTCTCTAAGATGCTGCTCTCATCATTGGAGGATCATAGCTCTAGTGCTAGAAGGGCCTTTCATCCCAGGGTGTGCTAGTAAATGTTTAACAATCAGCTCTCCCAAAGAGATGCATGTGTGACACACTTTTAAGTTTGATCTGCATTGTTTTCTCCATCATTTTCTTAGGTCTCAACAATTAACAAAACAATAAATCCAGACATGATTTGCTGTATTTTCCAATTTCTGAAATGTAAATGCTCACACTGAAATCTTAACAAGTGGATCCCAAGAGCCAGTTCAAGCTGCCTCCAACATATTTCTGACCTATTCTAATGCAATCACTCTACAGTTATGGAAACTGAAATCCCAGGAGGTTAAGTGAATTGCCCAGAGTTACAGAAGGAGTCAGCATGAAAGGTAGGATTCAAAGTCAGGTCCTCAGACTCCATTTTTAGCATTCTCTTTTCACTGGCCCACACTGCCTCTGAGAAAATCATTTTTCTAAGGGTATCACTCATCTTTTATTACTCACAAAATCCAAAAGAAGTCTGATTCACAGACCTGTTTCCTTTATCTGTAAAATGAGGCTGGACTGGATGATCTCTGAAGGCCTTGCAGTTCTAGTTCTATGAAACCCTAAGATTCTAGGATCCTATGAGAAGTCCTTCCTCTCTCCCCCAAAGTGCACACACATTTGCTTAAATTTTTTTGCCCTTCTCTAGCGTCCCCAAAGTAGTACCTCTATCTTACCATTCTTTTCTCCACACATAGGACATATAACAACACTCTTGCATCCAAGAAGCCATTCCAAATAATGCTTGGTTACTCCTTACCATATATGTAGGAAATCCCAACAAGCTCAAAGATTGCAATGATGACCAGTGCATATGAGGCTGCATATGTATCCACGAGTTGAAACATGTAAATTCCACCCTAATGGAAACAAAGTCAATTCAACAGTTAAGTACACTCTCAATACCCTTTTCTCCATGCGACATCTGATGTTTATTTTGTAGAGATAGCCAGGCTTCAGGCTGGAAGGGATGCTGGGTGATATCATTCAGTCATGGAATCATGGAATCTCAGAGCTCTGTGGTATGTCAGAACCCCATGCAGTCTGATCTGTACCTGAAGAAGAATTCCTTTTTTGAATTCCTCTCAAGTGGGATATCCAGCCACTGAAATCACAGCTTCCTGCAGCAGCCCATTCTTCTTTGGTTCCAGTTCTTTGTTCCTACATCAAGTCTAAATTAGTCTCTTTTCAGATGAGGAAACTGAGAGCCACCAAGGTTAAATGACCTTCCTAAAGGGCTCCATGGGTCATAGGCGGCAGAGTTCGGGTTCCAACCCTGATTTGCTGACTCCAAATCTCAAGCTCTTCCTACTACCATACATTGCAACTCAACACTGCAAAGTCCATGGAGTGGACCAATAATTACTGCAGGTTGGGGAGAATTTGTGACCACTAGGTATGCCTCTGTTCAATTAATAAGTAGGGACCCTGGAAAGAGTATCAAATGCCTCAGAAAACATTCAGGCTAATCAACAGAACAAGCACAGAGAAGAATCTAATCTCTTAAACTGAAATGATGAAGATCCAACATGGGGAAAGTCATACTAGTGTTACCAATATTTCTCTTAATAAGCACACCTGACTTTGAATAATAGATTGCACTTTAAGCAAAGACAGTGGAAAATGTTGATATAATCATCAGTTGCATTAATAGAAGTTTGGTATATTATACTGGCAATTCCATTCATGTATTGGTTGGACTAAATAGCCATTGAGGTCCCTTCCAACTCAAATTCTGGGATGCTGTGAAATAAAATGCCTGGAAATAGGGAGGTGCTAATCCCTCTGATTCTCTGTACTGATCAAGCATATTTGGAATACTGGGTTCAGTTCTGGATGCCATATTTTTGGAAGGACGTTGATTAACTAGAGACCATCCATAGAGACATGACCAATATTTGGAAGGATGTCAAGAATATTCCACATGAGAATCAGTTGGAAGAAAATGAGGATATTTAGCCTAAAGAAGAGAAAGCTTATGAGGAATATAATAGCTTTCTTCAAGTATTTGAGAGGCTACCATATAGAAGAGACCAGAATTGTCCTCCATGGTTCCCAGGGGGCAATGGATAAAAGTTGCAAAGAAGCAAATTGTTCCAATTCTTCTATGTTCAGTAAAGAAAAAAAAAATATCCAAATAATTAGAACTACATCCCAAAGCAGAATGAGTTTATGCAGAAGATAATAGGTTCTGCTTTACCAAAATCTGCAAGCAAAGGCTAAATAATGACATTGGGGGGGGGGATATATCTTCAATGGGATTCTTGTGCAGGTATTGATTGAACTAGAGTGTTTCTTTGGTCCCTTCCACCTCTGATACATTGCAACTCTCCAATCATCATTTAAATCTATAATATCTGCATTTCTGATGGTTCTTCAATTGTCTAATGGCTCCTAACTCTCAAACATTCATTCTCTTTTCCTAATCCTCCTACCTAATGAATTGATATTACATAAAATCTAATTTGTATCAGAAGTTTGTCTCAGGGCCCCAGCTAGACTGTAATTTCCACAAGGACAGAGGCTATGTCTCCTTTATCTTTAAATCCTCAAAAACTAACACAGTGTTTTACACACAATAAATGCTTACTAAAAGGTTATTGAATTTGATTGTTGAATTCTCTTCCCAAAGCCTTATGCCAAATAATTTTTAACCTGTTAAAAAAAACATTTAAATGCATTTGAGGAACTTAGACCTTTAAAAGAATCTTGTGGTGGACTTTACTTTAAAGCGAATAATCATCCAGCAGTTTCTCTATTTTGCAAGTTCAGACTTCTCTATATTGGGTTTTCTTAGTTAGGCAAGTCCATTATGTGGCTACCTACCTGGTTCAAGGATACACCTATCCATTGCTACTGGCCAAAATGGAGGCAGAATTAATTCTGCCTTATGAATCCCTAATTAATTTGTGTAAACTCCATTTTTGTGGCAGCAACCTTTGTCTAACAAAATGCCAAGTAAGTAGTAAGCCCATAACAATTGCACGAATAAATGAATAACGAATGAGGGAATGAAGAAGTGAGGTAGAGAGCAATGTCCTACCCTGCCTTCCTTTCCCCAAGAGAATCCCAGCAAACAACTTACCTGAGTGATCATAGGAAAGCCCATGATGAAGAAACAAACACAGCATCCGAGAGTAAAGACAGGCTTGTGTGTGCGCAAATACTTTGGAAACTCATCTGAGATGGAGGTCACTATGGTCTCAATGGTGGCAAACTGTGGAGGTAACAGTAAAGGAAAATGTTAGTTATACAGCCTAAATAAACACATTCATTCTATAAAGGAAAAAGAAAGGAAGCTATTTCTTTTAATAACCCAAAAGAACCTACTGGGATCTTGTCACCAATTATGGGCAAGGAGAGCAATAATGTTTTATTTCTTAGAAGTCTCTCCCCCTGCCACTTCCCTCCATTCCCACAGACACACACACACACACACACACACACACACACACACACACACACACACACTACATTCTTTCATCCATCAGAACATTGGAAAGTATTCTCTGTTTATTAGGTAGCTATAGATTCTTTTCCTATCATTTACATCTCCTTTGCTTTCTACTGGGGGGGGGAGCAATCCACTTAACTGATAAACCTAGCCACATTATTTGTAAAAAGTCATTTTTCCTAAAAACGTGATCATTTTCTTCCTCCTAAATCAATTTCTTCCTCTTTCCCACCTTCTGATAATTTTTGGTAAGAAATTTGAGTGACAGCTCAAAATATACAGAATAAAGATTGGTATGCTGTTTGGAAAAACAGACTCCCCTCCAAATTTCAGAAATACACACACACACACACACACACACATCCCCACACCTTCCTTGGTAAAATCAGCAAGTCCCTAACTGTCCTCATCTTCTTCAACTGTTTTCAGTGCCACCTTCCCCACTGGGAGAAAGGACAATTGTGTCACATTGGAACCCTGCATAGGCCCTGTTAGAGGTTGTGCTTTGGAAAAAGCTAAGGAGGCAAGAAAACAAGTCTGCTCACCATGGTATCCAACCCAAGAGTCAGGAGCATGAGGAAGAAGATTATGGCCCAGAAGGGAGAGAGAGGAAGCCTGGTTAAGGCTTCAGGATAAACCACGAAGGCAATACCTGGTCCTGAAGAAGACAAAACAGAAAGGATTACAGACTATCTGTATACAGAATATGCAGACCACCAAAGGAGTAAGTATCAGACACAGCCCAAGTGGTAGATACGACCTGCACAAAGTCTTCTCTATTGTAGCCTCTCATAGACGTAGTATGGTGCTCATTTGTATCCCCACAGCTTAATACAGAGGCTGGCATATGGCAGGTGCTTAATAAATGTGTGCAGTGTACCCTATCGTAGCATACCATTAACTTGTACTGTGTGTGACCTTAGGCAGAATATTCTTCTTCTCTGGACCTTGGCTCTTTCATTTGTAAAATGACAGGGTTGGGCTTAGGGGGACAATGCAGTATAGTGGAGAGAATACTAGATGTGGAGTCCCAGGACCGGGGTTCAACTCTCAGCTTTTCGACTTCTAGCATGGTACAGCAAAAAGCATGATGGACCGGCAGTCGGAGCTCAAGAATTTAAAACCCTGGCTCTGCCACTTACTACCTGTGTGACCATGGGCAAGTCTCTTAAGTTCTCTGGGCCTCTGTCTCTTCTTCTCTAAAATGGAAAGATTGGACTAGATGACCTGTAAAGTCCCTTTCCAGTCAAAGTCACCGATCCTTTACTACCTTTGTGACCTGGAAGGGGCTTTCTAAGTCTAAATCTCTGATCTTACATGATCCTATTCACTTCATTACCTGTGTGGCCTCTGGGAAGCCACTTAACTAGCCGATCTGGACTCCAACATCCTCATCTGCAAAATTAGGCCAGGCAGAACAGTGATTCCACCATTGCCAACAGAAAACACTGCATAACACCAAGGATAAGTCATAGACAACAGCCAAAGATCTATGGGACTTGGTTTCCTCTTCTTTAAAATGGGGACAGCAACTCCAGCCTCATGCACAGGCTTCAGCTATTGAGGAAATGATTCCTGTTAAGGACTTCACAGATGTAAATTTCTTTGTTAAATATGAAAAAAATAATACATTAGAACAGACAAAGACAAGTTAATGTCTTGCGCTGAGGGACCTGCACTGAAGTCAGGTTGTGAAATAGGAATCATAGCATCTGGAGTTTATAATTCAAACATAACAGCACTTTTTAAAAATGAAATTTTTCAGGCTGTTGGCTCTTAATGCTGTCTAGGGCCTTGGGGTATTTAAAAAATAAAGACTTGAATAGCTAAGACACTGCAGCTTTATCTCTGTATTGAGCAGACTATAACCCCAACTTTTAAATACTCCCAGCGCGAAACATAAAGGAAAAGTATGAATTAAAGTATGGCTCAGAATGCATAAAAGCAAGCCAGTCATGATTGGAAGGCTGCTCGGTATCCTCAGAATAGACGAGCCTGTAGAGTCGGGCTGTATGCCTTCTAACACTCACTTCCCAAGGATCTAAGTGTAGCCAGAGAAGTGTACTCTTTGATCATAACTTGGTTTTCTAGGTGCATGGAGTTTCAAGGGAGGAGTAAGACTGGGCAGAAAATCTGTTTTAAAAAATTGAAACTGTTCATTTTCAGTTACCACTCAGATAAGAATCAGGACTGGACCCATAGTTTTGCTTCTCTTCGCAAAGATGAAACCCAATGCAGCCCTACAGCAACACTCCCAAATGAATCCCGAACCAGATTAAAATATAATTGGAAAACATTTTTAAATTAATAAAAATACCATAAGCAAGTGATAGCATATTAATTTGTGGTTTTCTAAGTCAATATGGTACCCAGGAATTCTCACATACAGTGCTACTGGCATATGTTTCTATCTGAGTTTGACACCACTGGCCCAGAGCACAAAGAGGGTAGACTTGACCACACAGCAAGAATTAATCACCTAATAAATGCAAGTAATGGTGCTAAGCAATAGGGAAACAAAGAAGGGCCAAAAATAGTCCCTGCTCTCAAGGAGCTTACAGTCTAATACGGGTAACGGCAAACAACTGTCTACAAACAAGATACATACAGGAAAAATTGGAAGTAGTCCCAGAGCGAAGGCACCAAGATTAGGGACTAGAAAAGACTTCTTGATAAAAGTATGGCTTTTACCGAGACCTGAAGGAAGAATATCCAGGCATGGGAGACAGCCAGTGAAAATGCCTGGAGTCTGGAGATACAGCTTTGTGTGTGAGGAACATTGGGAAGAATAAGGATGAGAATCAGGCTGAAAAAGACTGGAAATGTAGGAAGGGGCCAGATTATAAACAGCTCTAAAAGGTAAAGTGGATTTTTATATTTGATCCTGTGGTAATTGGAAGCCATGAGAGTTTATTGAAGGGGGGAGTGGGGATGATGGTAGTATTGGAGGAGAATATGAGAGATGTCATGAAGGTTGAAACAAGACCTGATGAGTGATGGGCCATAGGGGCTAAGAGAGAGTGTGAGGCTAAAGATGACACCCAGGTTTCAAACCTGGATGGAGAATGGACAGCCAATACATGTCAGAAGTAGGACATAAACCCAGGTCTCCTGGCTCTGAAGTTGGCTCTCTATAGTTTATACCAAGCTGTCTCTCTTTTAAAAAAATCCATTATGATGAACTCCATTTATCCAAAATTTCTATAGAATAGAATGTTCTGGTTATAATTAGTCGGGTTAGGTGAGAATTATCTTCCAGAAAAAATGCCAACTTCTTGAGAATGGCAGGGGGGAGTTTTTCATTCATCTTTTCATACCCAATACCTAGCACAATGCTTTGCACATAATAGGCACTTAATAAATTGGAAATAGTTGAAGCAAATCTGCAGATTGACAGAAGTTCCAATAACTAAAACATAATAAAAATACACAATAAAACCACTTGGATTCTTAAATGGATCCTTGATCTCAGGAAGTATTCCCTCCTCCAATAATCTGAGAGCACCCTTATCTTCCTGAATGGTTCCCATCCCTCCCCCCCAACTTAATAATCATTTAAGTGTCTACTATGGGTCAGGCTCTGTGATGGGTACTAAAGATACAAACACAAAAATAGGAGTCCCTTCTCTCACAAAGATCCACCCAGCACACTTGGAAATTTTATCTGGTTCTTTAACTATTTCAAGGAAGCCAGTACAGCACTCAGGTTGTCCATCATTTACCCCTGTGACTTGTGACAATCAATCAACTCCTTTTCTGGTCATGCACGTCCTGGAAGTCTTCTATGCCATTCCTTGGGTACAAGAATGTTGCGACTGACCACAACTCTGACCACGTCCCTTGGGAAGGTCACTGCTACATGATTCTCAGCCAAAGAGAGCATCACTGAGAGAATATAAAGGAATAAAATGATACAAAACATAATTGATTCATTATTTACAATAGTCCAGGGTCACAGTGCTGAACATTAAAGGACTGAGGTCACAGCGGGCTGTAATGGATGCATATTGACCCTATGGCATCTCCTAGTGGATGCAATAAGCCTAGTCATTTGAAATAAATCCCTGGTACCTGTTTGCTTGTCTCTTACAAAAGCAGAGGTCAGAATTAAGGTGCAAGGAAGAAGAGGGGGAAAAAATCTATCCACATCAGTTTTCCAGGTTAAGACTCCAGAAAAATGGAAATTCCTAGAGGCTCTCAAATGTTATTTTGAGCAGCAATGCCTCTTCCCCAGAAGTCTGGACATCATTTAGGATTTGAAGCTAAATAGAATTCTACCAAGTCACTTACAGGGAATCCCCAAATTAATTTAGTCTGTTATCTCCAAGATGAATCCCATATTCATTGATTCTAAAAATATTTGCTGATCTAGGTGCTATGCAAACATCATTAATGAAGCTGAGTTTATTTAAAAGGATAGGAACTGGACCTGTGATTTCATTAAAGGGCAGTTTTCACTTTTTTAAAGAGAATGAAAAAGCTTTAAGAAGGGGTTGATTGATGAAAGTTAACAAGCAAGAGAAAAACTGACAAAATGTGCCTTCTTTCCTTTTTTTGCAGAGTTGGGGGACTAAAGTGTGAAATATTAGATGCACTGGAGATATGAGGAAGCTAGGTAGTTCAATGGGTAGACTATTGTACTAGAGTGTCAGGAAAATGTACATTTTGCCTCAGATGCTGCTTGGCATGTGACTCTGGGCAAACTTATTTTCACTCTCTATGCCTATTTTATCATCTCTAAAATGACAGGGTTAATTCTGGAGAGCAATTTGGAACTATGCCCACTATAAAAATGTGCATACCCTTTGACCCGGCAATATCATTTCTAAGTCTGAATCCCAAAGAGATCATACAAATGGGAAAAGGACCCACATGTACAAAAATAATGATAGCAGCTCTTTTTGTGTGGCAAAAAACTGGAAATTAAGAGAATGCCCATCAGTTGGGGAACAGCTGAACAAGTTGTGTTATATGAATGTAACGGAATACTATTGTGCTATAAGAAATGATGAGCAGGCAGACTTCAGAAAAACCTGGGAAGACTTAAATGAACTGATGCTGAGTGAAGTGAGCAGAACCAGGAGAACACTGTACACAGTAACAGCCACATTGTACAATGACTAACTTTGATAGACTCATCTCTTCTTGGCAATGCAAGGATCCAAGACAATTTCAAAGCACTCATAGAAAATGCTATCCACAACCAGAAAAAGAACTATGGAATCTGAGTGCAGATCAAAGCATATTATTTGCTCTCTCTCTCTTTTTTTTTTGTTTCTTCTTTCTCATGGTTCTTCCCATTGGTTCTAATTCTTTGTTACAACATGGCTAACATGAAAATAGATTCAATATGAATGTAATATGTAGAAACTTTATCAAATTCCGCACTGTCTTGGGGTGGGGGAGGGGAGAGATGGGAAGAGAATTTGCTACTAAAAATCTTATGGAAGTGAATGTTGAAAACTAAAAATAAATAAATAAATGTATATTTTAAATGAATAAAAAATAAATGACAGGGTTAAATTTTATACCCTTCAAGTTTCCTTCCAGCTCTAAATCTATAATCTTGTGACATTATAAATACACAGATAAACTATAATCTAGAAATTTGGAGCACCTACCACAATCCAGCTCCAAACAACATAGGGCAGCTAAGTA